TCTGTTCCTCCTGATAGTGCCAAAGTATGCTTTCCTTTGCAGGTATCATTCCAGTAACACAAACACAATCACTTTGCGTTTTAAACTTCTGTACCACGTTTGCTTTTTTCACCTTTAAAAGTAGTTAATTCTGTCATGAAATTATTCCGTCATTTTAACACAACTCTAAATGATCTTGCTTTTGAAAAATTACCAGCATGTTACCTTAAACCTTTAAGATTCAGGTTTGCTAAAGGCAAAAGATAACAATATTAATTTATGCTGAGACTAGGTAAAAATTGACCTTTGGGCAGTCAACAGAAAAGAGAAATTGTGGTCCTTCTAAAATTAAAATCTGACTTTAAGTCTTTTGAAAATCTAAAGTTAATATGCATTTCCTCACACCAGTCATAGAAATCAGAAGAAATTCGAAACATTTTGTTTTGTTATTGATCTTCCAATCGTTTAGTGTGTCACAGTGAGCTTGGTAATTTTTTTTTTTTTAGTTTTAAGTAAAAGGAGAGGTACAGTAGCATACATTAATGTATGCTAAAATTAAAATACCCCTGTGATAATAGCATACTAGTTTGGATTATATTTTATATTCTTTTACAGTGAATGTTAAAGTTTTTTTGTTGAATTCTGGTAAATGTGAACAGCAATCCATAATGCATGTAGGTGTAAAAAAGGACATTTTAAAAGATACTTGACTTAATTTTTCCAAAGGGGATAAGTAGCAAGTTGTAATTGCTTTTTGTAGCCTCAGTGATTTGCTCTATTGACTACTTAAATCAAACATCAGGAAGGAAAAAATTTGTGTTCGTACACATTGCACTGTGAGTGTTGTAGGATTTAGTAATCCTCAATGACTATTGTTACTTTTAAAAGGAAAAGAAAAAGTAGTGAGAGGATTGGAAGTTAATGGTGTGTGTGTGGTGGGGGAGAATTGCTTCTAAATTATGTTGAAGTGGTCATTTATTTTGCCTTACACCTATTTGTGTAGCAGATTCTAGAGGATGGTGGAAGGTAATATACATGGTGAAAATATTAGTATCCATAACACACTGCTGAGTGATTAACTATTAATCAGAGACACCACGGAGAAGAAAGAATGAGACCTAGGGATTAGATAGGTTTTAACATGGCTCTGCCATGGAAAGCTATGAAGTGGGCAAGTCATTTAATGTTTCCTGATCAGTTTTCTTTGTAAAATGAGGGGGTTGGACTAGAACGATGATTTGCCTCCTCTCAACTCTGTAAGAATCAGTGTCACTTCAAAAGCGAGGGTTTACTTTCGAATGCATTGAGTAACAGGGTGCATAGAACCGAGGGCTGGGAGGATGTCCCTTATGATTTTTTGAGCTTGGCATTTAATATTTTACAGCAAAGTTTTTAGTTGAACATAATTGAACTTGTACTAGATAGGGTTAATAGGCTAGAACAAAAGGTCAAAGCATAAGGCATTAGGCTTAATTAAGGGAGAGCAGGAGTGGCAGGAGTGTGTGACAGTTAAATGGGTTTCCCACAGACTAATGTCGGTTACAGTGCAACCATGCCTCAACTTAAGTGGGTTATTTTGTGCAAAGGGCAGCAGTGATTAGCAGCTTGACATGCCAGACACTTCTGGCCAATCCCATCTGTTTTAGAGGTTAAAAAAGCACACCTTTATGAGCTGATGGATTGATTTGTGTGCCCGTCTGGTAAAGATTAGAAGTCCAAGGCCAACGCAGTAAATGTCAGTTACGGAATATTCTGCTTTCTTCGTTGGCTCATTGTTTTAACCGTCAACTGTTTTATAATGGGGATAACTGCTGTTTATGGAGTTGAATGCAAAGTGGGAGGGGGAGCAGGTGAGGGAGGAGGGAGAACATTTCCTAGATGGAATTGTGAATTAATATATTCTGTAGTAGGTGTTACCAATGGAGATATGGCCTACTTTGGATGCACTTGATTGTGTGGTGTGTATTTTTGCCTGTTCCTTACAGTTCGAGTCGTGGTATTCTTTCGTGTGTGTTCTCTGGGCACTTCTGTCATTTTGGAATGGGATTGGATTTTACATAACAAGATTGATAGGTTTCTTTATTTAGGCACTTTTTTTTTTTAGCAGCTGAATAGTTTATATCCATCTATCTGTCTGTCTATCATCTGTTATAATATTTTGTTCATTGACCTGCTGTAGAAGGGGAAGGGGAAAAGGCAGGAAATGGAGAGAGGCGTACAGACATAACACCCCCCAACACACACGTTATGGCTAGGATTTACAATGCTCACTTGAGATTGATGCATGCTGTTAAAATGAAATGTGTCTGAACCTAGACTAGGACTTATTTCTTTCTTCAACTTTGAAAGCTATAAGAGTGATACCATCAGTATAGTTCATTTTCAGTTCAAGGTTGTAGCCCAGTTAAAGATACACAGAGGCTAGATTGTGGTTAAAAAAGTTGGCTTTAACATCTTCTGATATTCAAGGGAAGGAAAGTCCTAACTTTACGTGGATGAACTAGAACTTCAGATATTGTGATCATAGTCAGTGAACTTCAGGAACATAAAGTATTCAGTCTTTTGGGGTGCACAGAGGGAAGTGTTTGAGAAATAACAAAGTTACAAGTTTTATCCCAAGATTATCTTCAACCTCAGATTTGAGTTCAAGTAAAAATATGACCAAGAACATTGGAAACAATATTAGGAGATTCTGATTGACACCACATAGCCTCATCCTTCTCACATAATTACATAGTTACAGAGATTGTATATATCATGTTAGACCCTGAATTGCTTCTTATAGAAAGAAAATGAAAATATCTAAAGAAGATAATCATTGAAAGTTATATGTGTATCATAACAGTAATTGATACTTGAGTAAATTTAGTTATGCATTTATTTTACTAATAAGCTATTCCAAAGTGAATTGGCTTAATTTATAGAGATCGAGTTATTTAATTGTTGTTTGGAAAGGACAAAGTGACTTTGTGATATTGGAGTTTATTTCATAATGTAGTGCTTAAATAAATATGTATCCATCCTTGTGTTCTTTGTGGAATAGCATCAGTTGAAATGATTTGGATCTAATACAGATTTACATAAAAAAGTCTTACCCTTAGAGAAGGTGAAGAAGCATAAATTTTATAATATTCATTGTTTCTCTTACACTAACTCATTCTTAAATTGCAGAATATTGGCTTGAGTAGTGTAAACGTGTTTGGGTAGTAAATTAAATGGAGGAGATTTATCTAATTTAATAGACAGAAACATCTTAAATGAATCTCACAGTGATGTTATAATAAACCTAGAACCAATGCCTTGTGCTCTGCATTCACACTAATATTGTAAACACTTTAAAAGTATCCTACATGCTGTCCTTTTGATTCTCTTCCCTTTTCTCTAGTAAATTCAAGTGCCCCCATTATCTAGTTTGTGCTAGAATTGCATCTTAATAAACTAAAGTGAAATCTTCTATAGGATTAACTTGTTTTTGTGTGTTTGGAGGTTTTGAAGAACATACTTTGTCCTCTACAATGCCTGGTAGTCAGTTTCTGGGCTGTAATTTCTTTGACTAATGTGATGTTATTGGCTTTGAGACCTGTAAAGTCTGCTCCTCTAAGCAAATTAGTTGAACATACACTTGTTTAGGTGATAAAAAATGAAAGCAGAACCTCTTAATATACCTAGCTTTCTGGGTTTGCAATTTTTGGTCCTAAAACTATGGCTTTCATAATGTAAATCTTAGCTGTTAGAAAATTTTATGAGTTAGGGTATTAAAAAAAAAAAAAGCCTTGTTTCGTGTTTTGATTTTAAATGCTTGTTAGGACATAGAATAATTTTTTTGCCTCTATTCAGGGAGATTAATTTTAATGGGAAAGCCATAAGACAATGAACTTATTCAAAGGTATGCTCTTACTATACTATATACATTTAAAATCAATATGTGTGTGCTTATGATATGTTTCACATAGAGATTTCTGCACCTGTTGATTGCATTAAGCGTTTGGACTCTCCTAATGAGGCAGGGAGAGGATGCAGTCACATTGTCAGAGTGGATCATCCTTCTTCCTTAGATTGAGTATATTCTACTTTTTTGTATTCTGTGACCTTGCAGTCAGTGACTTCAGCCCAGAATAGTTTCAAAGTCATGTAAATGAATGCAATTAAGGTATTGCTTTATCATCATACATAGTTCAGATGGAATCTTATTGGATCCAGTGGCTTGCTTGCTTTATAAGGAAGGTCAAAATAAGGTTAACTTTTATTACATAAGATGATTTGGTAATGTTTTTCTTTAGTTGGCTGAAAAAGTCCTCTTCTAATAGGAAATTATATATGTGTGTGTGTGTGTGTATATATATATATATATATATTAACCACGAGGAGGTCTGCTTCAAGGTTTTTTTCCTCCCTTTCCCTCTCTAATAGTTTTACTCCCCGTTTTAAGGAGATGCCTTTTGTCTTCTAGAATCTTGGGAACATTCTGCCTTAGTTATGATTCTAGGTATCTCTGACTTACATATGTAGGTGACAGTCCCTGCTGCTGATGTAAGGTAGCCTTGGAGCTACTGATTTATGTGCTTAAACCAAAAGGAAAAAGAAAACAAAAAAACACCAAAAACCCATTGCCATCAAGTTGATTCTGACTCATAGCGACCCTATAGGACAGACAAGAACTGCCCCAAGGCTGTAAATCTTTAAGGAAACAGACTGCCACATCTTTCTTGTGTGGAGCAGCTGGTGGGTTCAAACCTCCAACTTTTTGGTTAGCGGCCCAGTGTTTAACCACTGTGCCACCAGGCTCCTTTTATGTGCTTAACAGATTTTATTGATGTTCAGTTACCATGTTGGTGTAGGACCTCGGACAGCAGTACTAGAGTCCCAACTCACCTGGCCAGAAAGGAGACCTGCCACCCAGCCAGGCTGATTGTGTGTGGAGGTTGTGATAGTGCTGACAGAGATAAGAGAGAGGGGGAGCAAAAGAAAGGTGGGGAGGGAGGGAGGGAGGGAGAGAGAAGTAATCGAAAGAAAGGCAAGTATTTTTCATAGTTGGCTCATAATAACTGCCTTCTTTTCATCTATGGTATTACTTTTTTACTTTGTATATAAATTTATGAAAGTTCTAAGATGCACTGATTCATGTAGCAGACATTTCCTGAGCATGAGCTATACACCTTGCACCATGCTAGGTATTGGGGGATTCAGAGGTGAATGTGGGGTACATGGTCACAGGGAGAATAACAATAAGCAAAGATACTGAGAAAGTGACCTAGATGCACACTGGTCAAAGAGCTTGCTTCACGAGAACGTTAAGGAAGAATCACGCAAAGAAATTTGGTACCTGTATGTGGGTTAAAGAAACTGAAGGGCCCTGGTAATGCAGTGATAATAATAAAAAAATAGCTACATTATTTTTGGAAAGTTAGAGTTCAAGTTTTGGGTTTGTGTTTTGGGCAGTGCTGTAAACAGTGAGAACTGACTGTGGGTTACGGGATAGGAGTTGAGCATTCTGGAAGTGTAAACCAGATGGAAGTGCAGTGGCTGATCCAGGTGCTGCAGTGGTGACATCAGGGAGTTTGAATCTTACCTCCTTATTGCCAGCTACCTGCAGTGTCCACTGACCTGTTCATATATAGTTTCCTCAGCCATTCCCCCCGCTCCCCCCAAAAAAATATTAAACTGTAGGCTATATCTCTTGCTGGTGAAAAATTCTTTCACCCACTTTTTTATTACTGAAAGTATAACTTTCCCATAGGTCGATGGCATTCTCAATCTAGGGTGGTTCTTTCTGATTCTTAGTTTTAAATTTTTCATTTTTAGTGGTCTAGAAGAATGAGATATTTGAAACTCTGTGATGACTGTCATGTAATTTTAATTTTTTCTCCTAGAATTCTTGATCTTATTTTTTTTTTATTATGACGTTAACTTCTCACACCCTTGAGAGTAAGTGATCATCTTTACAGTGTGAATAGGTAGTGTCTTTTGGTAAATAATTTTGTAGGGCTGGTTGTTTCATCAGATGTGGTCAGAAACTGTGTTTAAGGAAATCTTGTATAATTCAGATGTCTTATCTAACAATCTTTTTTTTTAAGAGATTGTTTATACTAGTTAAAATTCTGTTGTAAATAGTACTGTTGAAATTCTTTCAGGTAAGATGCACTTAAAGTAACACTACACTTCTCTTAATTTTCAGGAAGTATTTGGATCGTGAGCTATTACAGAACTCTATTCTCAGGACCCATTATTTTAACATTTTGGAGAAAAATATCCAGAAGGTATTGTTTTTTTTGTCTCTTTGCTCCTTTTTTTTTTTTTTTTAAACATAGCCAACTCTTTCCAATTACAGGAGAAGTAAGAATACTATGCCAGATTTTGTTAGATTTTTCTTTGAGATATCAGTAAGCTCATTGTTTGACATTTGTCACAGAGGAGGGGAATCTGTTTTAGTGTTGGTAAATTCTGAATTTTGTGTAAGAGAGGAAGAAACATTGTTTGGTTTAGATCTAACCACTTTTGCCGATTTTAAACGTTTGAGGTATTTACATTTTACCTTGTCATTTCAGAACTATTTTAAAGAATGTTTTCATTAAAAAAAAATGAGATATAAAAAAATCCTGTATAGCTAAGACAGTGCAAGGTACATATTAATCATTTAGGCAGCTTAAAGTCCTTCCTGCCTACGCCAACTCTACCTTCTAGTGTAGGAATAAGCTGTCATTGATGTTCTCATCAGTCTTTCATCAGTGTCCATAGACATAGACAACTAGGCCACCTGGCTCTGCCTCTAAATGTCCATCTGCTAACTTCCCTCTCTGTATTATCACTTTTGGTCAGGTTAGTGTAGAATACTAACGTGTGCTTGTAGACCCAGAACCTCAGGACATGTGATATATTACTGGAAAGGAAGCACATTAAGATCATCATTGGTCAAGAAACTTACCTGCTATGTGCTTTTGTCTTTTGAACCCCCAGTCCCTGTGTGGATATGCCACCTGATTTGTCTAAAGTCAGTGGTGAACACAGTCCCCTTCAGCCATATCCAGGATTTATTTCTTGGTGTCCAACTTTATACCTCCCCTACGTCTTGAGTTTCCTTTTTTAAGAACTTTTACCAGCTGTCTGGCTTGGAATAGAAACATGAAGGATGGGCACATAAATACGTTTTAACAAATAATGAGTTTTTTTTTTTTTTTTTTTTAAGTTATAGTGAACAGAGCAACTTCTTTGAATACATATTTACTTTATTAACTGGATATTTATGATATATGTTCACATGGAATAATGCGAACATTGTTTTTGAAAATTATCTTAAATAATCACTCATTGAGAGGTATAAATCTGTAGGATTGGATGAATATTGTCTTTTATGTTCCATAGCACTTTGTATTGGACTTTCAAAGTCGAACCTCCTCTCTTGATGTTCAAGATCATTCACTATTGGCAAAGCAGCATTTCTTCCTCTCTTCCTGTCAGTTATGGGGAGAAGGGGAAGGCAAATGAAAAATTTAAATATGCACATTAGGACTGTAAAGAAATTGTAAATGAACCCCCAAATATTAATTAAATTAAATTTTTACTATACATCATTAGTTAAAAAAATTATATGATCAGACACTCTGGATTTTGTGGCATTTAAGGTTATCTTTTGTAATTGCAGATAATTACTATTGCAATTAAATATTTGAAGAAATAAACATTCAAGCTTAGTTATAAGGAATAATATTGCACTTTTTAAAATCTTTTTGAATTATCTGCTTATGAAAGTTTATCATGTAATCACAAAATTACGAGTATATCATAGAACCGAATTAAAAATTTTTTTTATTAAAAGGAAACTGCAAAGAAATTGACTTTAGTGAAGGATTAAGTAGATAAATTCTCTTGGAAATTCAGAATAGGAGTTGGTTTTAAGTGATTCTTTTGAAAACAAATTATAATGTGTATAGCCCTCTGGAGTCTCTGGGTGGTGTAAACTGTTAACGCATTCACTGCGAACCGAAAGGATGTCGGTTCAGTCCACCCAGAAGCTCCTCAGAAGAAAGGCCTGGTAATCTACTTCAGAAACAACAGCCGCCAAAAACCTTATGGAGCACAGTTCTACTCTGACACACGTGGGGTCACCTGGAGTCAAAATCGACTCATTGGCAACTGGTTCATTGGTATAGCCTTAAAAAAAAGATTACTCATTTATTCTTTTTTAAAATATTTTTACTAAAGTATAACTTTTGTAGAGTCAAGCAGAAGCTGTTACGTGCTAGCTTGATGATTTTCTGCGTAAGTATACCCTGCGTAACTAATACTCCATCCCAGAAGGCTCATTCGCTGGAAGTTAAATTTGCCATTTGATATCTTTTACCGTAGATTAGTTTTACCTTGTTTTGAGCTTTATAAAAATGGAATCATATAATATGAATTCTTTTTTGTCTGATATTTTTTATCAGAATTATGTCTGTGAATGTCATCTGTATTGTATGCATCAGGCCCCCTCTCTATCTGACTGTATTCTATTGTATGATTATAACCAGAAAAACTAGTTGTTATTGAGTAGATTTCCACTCATGTTGACCCCATGGGTGTCAGAGTAGAATTCTATTCCATAGAATTTTCAATGGCTGACTTTTTGGAAGTGGATTGTCAGGCCTTCTTCTAAGGTGCCTCTGGGTGGACTTGAACCTCTAACCTTTTGGTTAGCAGCCAAATGAGTTAACTGTTTGCACCACTACCATTTATTTATCCATTCTACTCCAAATGGACATTTACTATCTTTCCAGTTTGGGACTACAGATTGTGCTATTGTGAATGTTTCTGGTAGAAATAAACACTTATACCTGATGAGTATATACGGGGGTAGAACTGCTGAGTTGTAGGGCTTGCATATGTTCAGCTTTAGTGTGATAGATACTTGGAGTGCTTTTAAGTATACTTAGTAAATGTTAGTCAGTGCAAACTCTCAAATTGTTTTGAAGAGTTAAGAAATTCTCCCTGTATTAAAAAATAAGTTGCCTGTTTTCTGATACCATTTTAATATGTGTTAAAAATATTTGAAATACATTATGTCATAAAACATAGATCTGTCCTAACCAATAGGAAAATAGGACATGAAGCCCTCATATACATATTTACAACTGTGGAAATACTGAAAATAGATTTTGAAAAAAATCAGATATTTCACATAATGGAGTTTTTTTTTTTTCCTTGTTAAATTATTGGATACCCTGTTTTGAATATCTAAAATAATACTCTTGAGTTACAAAAAACCTATCTAAGCATTTCTGATAACTGCTGCTTGCCATGACTCTATCTGTGTTTGTATAAATCTGTTTGGTGATTTAAAGTAAAATTATTCATTCTAGAATATAATTGAGAAATTTTATATTAATGTATTTTTGGGTCTTTACTGTATAGAGCAGTGCTGTCCAATAGAAGTATAATGTAAGCTGCACATATTTTAAATTTCTAGTTAGCCACATTAAAAAAGTGAAAAGAAATTGGTGACATTAATAATATATTTCATTTAACCCCGTATACCCAAAATATTATCATTTCAATGGATAATCAGTATAAATTATGAGGTGTTTTACAGTCGTCTTCTCATACTAAGTTTTTGAAATCCGGTGTGTATGTTCACCTACAGCACATCTCAGTTCAGACTAGCTGCCTGTCGGGAGCTCAGTAGCCACATGTGTCTTGTGTCTAGTAGCTTATGGTACTGGACAGTGCAACTATAGAGTTACATCTTGGATTTGAAAAGACAGTGCTTTAGTCAAATTTGTGTATAGTTAAAATGATCTTTAACAAAATCCTACAGAAAGGTGCCATGTTGGATGCTGATATACCACCTTTCAGAAGGTCTCAAGCAGCCTGTTTTTCCTTCAGTCTCGGAATAAATAACACTTTTCTTTTGCTGAACACCAGACAAAGCAATTAGCTTGTGTTTTAGGGGTCATGTTTTATGAAAAATACATATTTTAAAACTGTAAAATCAAAATCTGTAATAACAGATTCACATCTTTCATTTTACCCTAGGTTATATGCTGAGTAGAATTGTACTTTTTTTTTCTCTTTTCTTTTCCTTTTTTTTGTAAAGCACGGATAGTTCAATATGCATATGATAAATTAACATACGATGTAACTCCACTATCTTCTAAATAAAATCGGGCAGTTTATAGATAAAGAGGTAGATAAGTAGATCATTATTTTTTATTAACTGTAATATTTAAAGATTACCTGGATTTTGAGGGTTAATATTTCTTCACATATATATTTGCTAAGCGGGATAAATTAAAATTATAAATTGTCTCATGTGAGTTTGGGTCACATTTTGCTACCAAATTGTTTTTTAAAGCTTTTTGGTATTCAGAATTCACGATGCGGAAAAGATACCACCGAGTTGGTCACACGGTGGGTTGTTGTGAGTGGTAAAGCCTTTCAAACAATACTTGACATACAGACATGTTAGCTATTATCGTGGGTCTCAGATCTGAGGTATTTGTTTTATAGCTCCCTCCACATTAACACCCCCCCCACACACAACATTTTTGATAGTAATACCCTTCCCTCTTAAATGGCATCAACTATACTTTTTGACACCCTCTTGCAATAGTACAGGTTATTCGCTGTTTAAAAAAAAAAAAAAAAATTCCTCTGCTCAGCAGCCTCCAGTGGCTGTCCATCTCACCTGGAGAAAAACTGAAGTCCTTCTATTAGCTGAAAAGTCAGGGCATCTCTCAGTGAGGCCTAGCCTGGCAGTCTCTATTCAAAGTTGAAAACTCTCCCCATTTCCTCTCTCCTTAATATTGCTGTTTTCTTTTTCTAAGCATTTATCACCTTTAAAATTACTGTGAAATTTATATTTTTAAAATATTGATTTTCTTCCCCCTGCTAAAGTAAAATCTCTTAAGGAGAGGAATCTTTTTCTATTGAGTTCATCACTAATATACCTGGAGAACCTAGAATAGTGCTAGCTCATAAGTATGTGTTGACTAAACCTTTATTGAATGCATGGAGAACACTTTTTTCATTCCTGAAAAAACTTTATGGTTTTTTTTCTGGGGCAGGGAACATTTACAGAATTATAGAATATAAACTACTTTCAACTTGAAGTCTGTTAGCTGTATGTTTGCTATAGTGTGTCTCTTTACTATTCACCTGGAACAAGAGAGAAAATACAGATGTCTTTGGTGAAAGTAGTGAATTACCTGTTTGGGTACAACGATTTTAAAGCTGAATGACTTTTAGTTTTGCTAACTTTCCAAAATGATGCTTAATTCTTCAT